CCAGAAGATGGTGTCAGATCTTCTGGTGGTTGGTTGTGGGGCCTAATGTAGGTGCTGGGATTTAAACTTTAGTCCTCTGAAGGAGCAGCAAAAACTCCACTGAGCCATCCTTTCCAGCTTCAGGAAGGTATACTTATTTGACACTCCCTGCTTACATATTTTTACTTAGGCAGATTACAGAAAAATCAAAGGAGATTTTATAGATTACAGAAAAATCAAAGGAGATTTTATATTAGGCCACTAAACAGAGCAGCACAGTTGTGCTCTTCACATGAAACTCAAAAATATATTATTTCTTTTCTTCCTGTCACTCAAGAAATTGTGATAATTTATTTGAAAAAAATATCTGAGGATAACACTGAAAAGTAAAGTCAAATAAAGCTGAACTAAAAACTGTCCATTTAAAAATTCTTGATAAAAAATGAGACAAGATGAATCCTGGATCTTATTTGGCCTAAACCTGAAAGGCTTGTGGAGTTATTTCAGTGAACATTTACTTAAGCATTCCGAGGCAAATAAAGCCGTACTACCAGAACGCATTGAAATACACTTCTCTCTTTGAGAATATACACTTTATGATTTTCTCACTGAGCTCATGAGATTACTGTGATCCAACAAAGGATGAAGCCAAATTAGGACCAAAAGTCTACAACAAATGAAATGTTCCATTCCAGACACTTAGTGAACTGATAAGTTTGACTTGTGATAATAACACCTCCGAGAAAAAAAATTTATGTGTAACTCTCAGTATGTGCACACACATTCACAGAGAGAGACCGACAGACTGACTGACATAAATGCAAATACTGTAATGTAGTAGGAAACAGCCTACAAGAGCATCATAATTTAATCTACTGTACAATCAAATCTTAAGCCATCCCTCTGTATTATTAGCTGGCATTTCTAAAGCTCAGCACAGTGAAATTTCTTTTGTGTTCAATGAGAGATTCTCAAGCAATCAATGAGGCGTCCATAACAAAAATTTAGTGATCTGTTTGACAATTGCAAACACATTGCCATTAAGAGAGGCTCTATGTTGTTAGCTGTAGACTTTATTTGAACAGATACTAACAGAGAAAAGAGTTTAAAAAGGGAAGAATGAAAAAAAGAAAAAGAAAAAAAAAAAAAAACCCAGTACCTTAAATTACGTAATTAAGGGTTAAGATCAATTTTTTTAAAGTGTTAACATTTCCTTCCACCAGAGGGCAACATTTGCAAGACATTTAAATAATCCATCCAAGTAGTTCCTCACAAAAACAAATGTAAACCAGCCTCTTTGCTGTGGGTAATCCCTTATGTAAATATCAAGGTATCCAGGAATACAGTTATTTAAACAAATATATATGAAATTCCTATCTAGTCATAGACAAGCAGTCTATGAGAGTCTGTATGAGAAGATAGAATTTTCAAAAAGAAACCTGCTTTTACAGACTTTTTCTTGCTACCCTTCCTTATTTTATTATTAACATTAAGCTTAAATATAAAAACACCCTAGTACTGGAGGAAATAAAAGGAAACAATTCCTACCAGTGAAAAATAGAAGCTGTGTGATTTTGCAAATGGAAGACATTATAACCTCCTATAAACCATTTTTTGTAGCGAAAAGGAAATGGAAATTTATTTATGTAAAGTCATTGAGCCTGTTATGACAGCAATACAGTCTAAGCCAACCCCAACCCAGCTGATCTCAGTTGCATCCTCCAAGCTTCAGGTCTTCAAAGAGTGACCTAGGGAACAATGTGTCCTGAAAACTTGGTAAGCTTGCATCATCTGGGGCTCTCCCTGGGTCTCTTGAATTATTTTATTCTAACAGGACCTCTGACTGTGGGAAAGTACTCCACCCCATTCTGCTTCCTTATCCTCATTTCCAAGAACACAGTTTACTGTGATTTGTAGATTTCGTTTTTCTCCTCTAGAAAATGGAAATAAAACCATCCCAGTCCAGAGACTTGTGAAGGATGAATGAGGTCACCTGAGTGTGAACCATTCATAAGCTATAGTAGCTATGCACATGAGTTATATGAATGATGCTGGGAAAAGAGATCATGTTTTCAGAGGAAAAGCTGTCTAACGGTGGAACAGAAGCGATGGATGAAATGGATAGGCTACTTCTTTGTAGGGAGAAGGAGAGCACCCACAGAAATCAGAGCTTTTACAAATATATCTAAGCCAAATTCATAATTATTGGCATATATTTGCCCAAAGATGAATTTAATGACTTCACTAGGGCTCAAGAATATCATGGTCAGTGTTTGTAAGTTTGGACCACACACAGAGAAGGATAAATGAAATCTGTTGGATTAATAATAGGTGTGCTATGGTGGGACCATATTATTGCTTGGAATATACATGAATGATGCAGCCATCTTGGGTTTTGGTGGTTTTGACTTCTAGTCAGCTGGGGTGTAAATTATTCATGTGGACAGAACCTGATGACACTGCTCAGTCTCTGGGGACTAAGTAGCAATTCTCATAATTTTCTGTGTTCAGAACTTCCTCTTATTCATGACTACACTTTATCTTGCCACTGATGGGAATGTTCTGCTGGTATCACCAGCTCTCTTTGTGCATCCTCCTGCCCTCCCCTGGCCACTGGGCTGTCATCATTTTCTAGGTTTAATTTTTTTTAATATTAAGAAAAATAAGGATGTCTTGCTGTCTGTACACATTTACACAGAGACTATGCTTTTTATCCTGTCTAATTTTATCCATAATTATTTCTAATGATATTTATGTGTATCTGCCATGTGACTTGTGAGACCTTACAAGAGATGTTTCCAGACCTAGCACAATTCTCAGCTCTCAATAAATATTTTTAGAATCAGTAAATCAATACTAGCTCTTATTTCCATTCAGACACTCAGACTGTTACTGGGAAAAGGAGGAAAACTAGATCATATTTCTCAATGCAGATGAATGCAATTATTTATTCTAGAACAATATCTTCATACCAGAGTACTGTTGCTTGGAATATACATGAATGATGCAGCCATCTTGGGTTTTGGTGGTTTTGACTTCTAGTCAGCTGGGGTGTAAATGCTTACAAGAATCATTTTTGCTTCATCATTTCAGCCTCCCAGATATTTAATGTAATTTCCATTTTTACATTAACTTCCACAATGGGAAAACCATTCATATTCTAAATGAATTAATTTCAGTGACTTGAGTATCTAAATATTTGTTAAACCTGTATTTTGAAAGATGGGCATGTGAGGCAAGTCTTAAGGGCCTTGAGATTTTGCAGTGAAACAATTCTATAAGAGTATTTTTATTCCTTTATACTGGATCTCCTATGGAAGTACATAGCATTTTGTGGCATTCCAGAGATATTTTTGAAGATGACTTCACAGTTTTGAAATATATATATTTAATATATAACATATTCACATATGCATATATGCCAAACAACAGAAATATGTTCATGGTATTCTTTATCAACCATACTTCCTAGTAAAATATAATTTTACAGGCATTGGATTGAACAATCCCAAAAGGGTTTTAGCTATTTGTCATTTTTTTCATCTCTCTCTTTTGGAAATACATTTTCTACATTTAATATGAAATAGTGAGGGAATGTTCTTATGTGATTCTGCATGTACCTCTGGGATTTAATCCAACAGTCTCTGTGTAAAACCCACTTCTGTTGGTTTAAATAGCATCCAAGGTTTGACCTTAAGGATGTAGTCAAGGCCAGTCTGTTTCATAACCAATTGCCTGAACTGCCTCTGAGAGGGTTGTAAACCATGTGAAAGGCTTTAATAAGTCACATTAATTCAGCACAATTTAATTGATTTGCTTAATGAAATAAGTTTACTGATGTTACACATATGCAACCAAGATGGAAAACCTTGTGTGACAATCTCTCAAAAACAAACAACCAACAACAACAGCAAAAAAAACTCCTCTTGGGAGAAGGTGTCATAAAGGGGAAGAGTGAGATTTCAGCGGAGTATAAATATACTGCGTTAAATGTTAAACGTTATCAATTATTATTTGCTGACAAGCATAAGGTACAGGTACATTTTACATGCATGGAGATAATTCAGTATTGTATTGTGTGTTAGTTAATTAAAGAAGCTTAGAATTCCAAAGAGTTCATAACAAATTGCCTGTCTTTCATTTGAAGGAGTGCTCTAAAGTTACAGCTGTCATTTTCTCTGTCTCTTCTCCTTCTCTCTGCCACCTCTTTGTCTCCCTCCATTTCTCGGCATCCTTTCTTGTTCATCTTAGGGGATGAATCAAACACACAAACAATATTATATGCATCCCATAAACATATGCTTTATATCGGAGGGGACCAGATGTTCACCTGGATACCGCACACCTAAGCAGAAGCTTCTGCAGTGCTGCTTCCCCGCCTTGCTGTCAGAGCAGGTGTGGACATGCTGGGCAGCGGGAGGCCAAGCAGAGTAACTTGTCAATGCTTAATAAAGCCCTCCTCCCTTGCAGAGCCAAATGCAGCCTTCCTTCTGAGAACTCTGCAGACGATGACATCTCTCCACTTGGTTTCCATAGCATCCTTTCCTGAAGAGCCCTAGAAAGGCCCTTGGTCAGGGCGATCCGCCCAGCTCCCCTAGGAGTTGGCAAGCCGGTTAGCCAAAAGCAGCATCCTGGGTTCCTGAACTTCCTCTGTCCGTGGTACTGAAATGCTCAGCTGCGTTGCGCGCACGGACGGGCGCGGTCGGCTTTTATGCAGAGTCTCCCCTGACGCTGCCTAAATCACAGCTGTGTGTCTGTTATTCACTCAAGTTCGCAAAATAACAGCTAACATTCTCAGTCTTAATTCCACTCTGCCACTCTGCCGCAGAGCACAATTACGCCGGCGCGATGGGAGGAGACCACAGTAAAGCAGGAAGCTAACAGCAGTTGCTCACCTGAGGCCTGGGAAGCTCCCAAGGGTTCTGAGAGCTATGAGCTCTTATCAGCAAAGTCACCATTTTAGACAGTAGGGCTTTCTTTCTTTCTTTCTTTTTCCCAAATACAAAGATTCGATGACGTTTCTGCTCAATCTGATTTAAAAACAGCGAATTGATTGCAATAAGACCGCAAAACCGGGAATTTACGTTGTTTTTCGGTGAGCTTACTTCCAGAACAGGGACTCATCAGCACCCGCCCAAATACCACGGCAGTGCGCGCGCCCTCGGCCACCGGATCCTCCCCTTCCAATGAGACTTTGTGACTGTGTGTACCAGTTCTCCTATTAGGAAACCCGTGGGCTGCATGCAGCTATTCTGTTGTACTCTCTTTCTCGCCCTCCCTCCCCTCTCCAACTCACAGCCTTGCTGGAAAGCTCACCTCTGTTTGCTGAGAAGAAAAAACCCTACCTTAACCGATTAAGACTATGCGCAGAATTCGCCTTTCATAGCCATCACAATTTAAATCTGCCAAGGCTGGACACCAGTCTTTACAGGAATGGAGTCGGTAAAACAAAGGATTTTGGCCCCAGGGAAAGAGGGGATAAAGAATTTTGCTGGAAAATCCCTCGGCCAGATCTACAGGTAAGAGAAAGCAACCCCATGCTTACCTGGGGCTCACCATGGCAGAATCTGCAAGGCCATTTCTGTAAAGCTTGCTTACTTGGAGAGGTTGTAACATGGTGGAAAAGTCTTTTTGTTGCTTATTGTTGAAGCAAGACTCCACTGGAAACCTGCTTATGAATGCAAGAATGTGGCACTAAATGAACCTATAGTGTGTGTGTGTGTGTGTGTGTGTATGTGTGTGTGTGTGTGTGATTTTGTTTCATTACCTGAGGATTCTCAGATTCTCATGTGTTCCAATCCAGATCTTAACCCTCTTTTGCAATCCCAAAATGTTCATTCAGCACCTGCTTAGAAAACCTGTCTTACTTTTGCCTATAAAATTTCTTTGATCCAGACAAGTGACTAACAAAGGCCAACCCCCTTTAAAAATGAATTTAAAAAATTCTAGATCTCAGCTGCAAAATAACAGTTAAGAACTCTCTCATGGGAAATTCTGTATTGAATGAGACAGGACCAAATATATAAAGAATTGATCATTGATGTTTTTCTCTTGAATATAAAATATCATACATACATTTTTATTTGCTTGCTTATTTTTAGAAGTCTATCTCTTCTGTGGTAAATGTCACTGTGTCTTAAGAACAACCAGAATCGTAAGCTGCCAAATTACTTCGAAAGTGATTTAAAAAATTTAAATGATATCCTTCTTGTAACTACTACACTAAGCATACTGTGCTTTGCACGAATTCAGGTCCTGCCAGGTGTGTTATATCTTCTTTGAATACTAGTTCTTATCATTGATACAAGCAAAATCAATGAGACAGCAAACACTGTAGAAAAATGGATCGTGAACAGCGTTCATTCTCACATTTGGAAACTGAAGCCTTGGCTCTCTGAAAGAGTTGTAACACAATGACCAATGCACAACCCTGTTTTCCATGTTTCTTAGTTCTGGTGGGCTTCGGTAGACACCATCACGCACTGCTGCGGCAGTAGATGCCGCAAGCGCCCTGCAGTCCTGCAGCTGCTCAGAAACAGCTGGGAGGTGGGGGATTCAGGTACAGAGGTCAAGGTTGCAAATTCAGGTATCTAAAGCCAATGCAAAAATTATCAAATTGGTTAAATTTCTTTCTTGCAAGAAAAAAAAAATCACTGTTGTGTCCCTAGTACTTGGATTATATATCACTCATTAACACCCACATAGCATATCACAGACAGCTAAATGACCTATTCTGCAATGGAATTTGATCAAATTTAGAAGACAGCTTTAAGTTTTTTGGCAGCCATGTTTCAAGCTGTACATGTCTCAAATTGATGTTAAAATTCCATAGGCTTTGCCTCTCTCTCTCTTTTTCTCTCTCCCTGTGTATATGTATGTGTGTAAGAAATGGTGTCATTTAATGGTGTGCACACAATTAAAAGTAACTACAAGATGAATGGAGAGTTCGTCAATTTTAATTTAAGACATTGTTTAAATATAAAAAATACCAGTCACATTGAGAGATAGCTATTACCTTCCACCCTGTTCTTTTATTAAAAAAAAAATAGACGTTTTATGGATGTGTTAAGTATGAGAACAGAAATACCTTTTATCAAAGTCTTTCTATAATTCCAATTCTCTTTTCTTCCCTACTTCCTCAAGGACCAGAGCCTAAGAGGAACTGATTGAGAAGGGTCAAATCTTATGAAATCCTTTTCCTTTGAAAATAAGATCTTTCTCTTAGTGGTACAGACAGTGGTGGGGGCACCCCTTGGCAAATCTGGGAATCTCATTTTCTGTCTCTGGAAATGGGCCCGAGATATTTTTCAGTGTGTTGTAACTGAGGTAGTAATGACGAAAGATTGTGAATGATTAATTATTCATGTTGTAGGAAGGAAGCTGAGGTGTCAGCCATATGCTGCGGAGGCCTTTGTTTCTAACTGGAGTAAAGAAACAGGGGGATGGAATGAGAAGACTGAAGAAGAGAGAGAGAGAGATGGGGGAGGGAGTGCTGAAATGGCACCCCAAGATCCAAGGCTGAGAAGTGTTAGCCAAGGTACCAAAGACATCCCACCCTGGGGTAGAGTGAGGATAAGGATTAAGGTGGTGCTCTCCAAGCCTTTTGCAAGCTCTTGATAGAACTGAGTTGTTAGAAAGGACCCGAGGTAGCCTGGAGTAAATCACCTAGGAGCCAGGATAGCACCCTCTCCCAACCCTGTCTCTAGCACCCTGATGACCCTAAAAGTTAGGTTCAAGGGGACTGTATGTAAATTGATACACACAAAAAAGTGACAGATCTAGGGTTCACTGAGTTAGGCCAGAGGGTGTTAAGGTGTAGGCATTGTTGCCTAGGGAGGAGGATATAGAATTTCACAGAATATAAGAAGTCTTGAGTTCTATGGTACCTGCATTCTAACTCTTCTGAAGGAAGAAGTCAGAGCCCAGGTCCTCAGTCCCTAAGGGCTGGGCAAACTGAATACCAAGGTTCAGGGCAGCTTTGTTCCCTACACTGACCCGCAGGGTGCTGGAAAAGAAACAGGACACTCGGGAGACCATCGAGCTGACGGAGGACGGCAAGCCCCTGGAGGTGCCCGAGAAGAAGGCTCCGCTCTGCGACTGCACTTGCTTCGGCCTGCCGCGCCGCTACATCATAGCCATCATGAGCGGCCTCGGCTTCTGCATCTCCTTTGGCATCCGCTGTAACCTGGGCGTGGCCATTGTGGACATGGTCAACAACAGCACCATCCACCGCGGGGGCAAAGTTATCAAGGAGGTGGGCATTAGCCGCTAGCGGACTCGCACCATTCACTGGTCTAAAGCTGCATTCCCCTACCGAAAGAGGAAGGCTTGCATGCTGTCTAAGCCCTTCCCTGTCCTGCCATCCTGGAAAGAACCACCAGAGTGATATTATCTGCCGTTTTCGTTCTAATCCTGGCTTTGCACCCCTCATTTGCAAGGCATAAAATAGTGTCTGGTTCACTAGACTTGTGTAAAGAATGACAGCTGAGAGCTAGGCAGCGTCTTCTAAATCTAAAAAGAAATATTTTCCTTTGGGCATAACATTATACTGTCCTCCTGGATTCCTCCAGATCCCCCCTCCAAAAAACCGTTTAGTTATCAAACTAAAAAAAAACAAAGCGCCGCAGTTAGATCAGCATATGCATATCAGGTTTGAGGAAGGACAGGATCGAAGGCCTAGGAGTCAGGCTGGAAGAGAAGCCGCGGGGGTAGAGGAGTCTGCTTTTGCCAGAGCGCAAGCCGCGGTAACCTTACAGTGTGTATTCCGCAGTGATGCCTCGTGGGCGAAGGTGAGCTGAAGGTCACAAAAGTCTTTCCGGGGAAAGTAGTAGAGCTGGTCGGTTTGGTCACAGAACTTGGGAACACTCTGGAGACGAACTGCGTCCTTGGGCCCTCTGGAGCCCAGGATACACAGGAAATTTTCATTGCAAGAGACAAAAACCTAATTCCCAGTTTCCTGGGCAAGGCAAAAGCATGGGCTTTTACAGTATCTTGCTGTGGCACCGTGTGTTTTAGACAGTCAGGCCTTGAGGTCCACACAGCTCGAAACGGAACCTCCCACTACCACCACCACGGGGAGACTGTCCTCAAACCTTTCTGTTCTACCCATTCAGATTTTCCAAGCCTTTCTGGCCTTCTTTTCCGTGCGAGGCTTTTGAGGGTCGCATTCCATTCGGGGACTCAGCCCCACTACCTGCATTCTTACTAGCTGGCAACAGCCAAAGGGACCCTAACCAATGTCCTCTTCCCAGAGTCCGAAAGTCTCAGAGGGCGCTTCTAAAATCTCTCCCACAGGGAGCCTGGCACTCCATCCTTCGTTGTGAACCACAATACTTTTTTAAAAAGAGTCCCTCTTGTCAGAAGTCATTGTGTTGTGAAATGAAAATATAGCCTCTGGCCTCAGTATTTCAGAGCACGCAGACCATCAAAAGTGAGTTGTGTGCACTGACTTTGCCTTGTCCAACGTCTCCCTGACCCGTTGTTTCTTTGTGTTTTTCCCTCTGTTCCTATAGAAAGCCAAATTTAACTGGGACCCCGAAACTGTGGGGATGATTCACGGGTCGTTCTTCTGGGGCTACATCATCACCCAGATTCCGGGCGGATATATCGCATCGCGGCTAGCTGCAAACCGGTAATGCTGAGCGAGTGTGCGGTCGGTCTCCCTGCACCTGTTTGCGCCGGTTTTAGACAGCCCTGGGGTGTTTGAAAACTCCCTAAGGGCGTCTCTTTGTTTCCGGACACGCCTTCCCGGCTGCAGCGCTGAGGTTCGCGCCTCCGGAAGCAAGAAAGGGCCCAGGTTTGCCAAGACCTGCGCGCGTTGGTCGGCTGCGTTAGGCCACTCTTACCAGGCCTATTAGAAAAGCTCCCCGGTGCCTTCCATTAGGGCGGGGGTAGGGTGGGGTCGGTGTGTGTGCTGGACGCTGCAAAGACGTGGCGGTGCTGTAAGATGCACAGGCGGGAGAGGAAGGGAATGCCCAGATAGGTACCCGGGTGGTGCAGACCTCCAGCAGGGCATGTCAAAGGCTAGCCCCAGAGCTAGCCCATATGGTGTTATGAGCCTGAAGGATTTGTTTCTATGGATGCAGGCGGAATCTAGGGCTCTTGGGTGCGATTCCACCTGTTAATGAGCTCTGTGCTTAGGGGGCGGGAGGGAGCCGAGCTGCTCAGCTGCGTCCCTCGGCCTCTGGCCTCCAGTCCTGCAGCGGCTGCCGGGATCGAGGTCCTAGCGCCAGCTTTCAGGGGGGCACCCCTACCCCGAGGTCCACCTGCAGAGACGCCCCTGGAGCATAAAGACTTGCGGGCGTCGATACCTAGGAGGAGGGCATGGCTACCGGGGGGGTGGGGCAAGAGACAGTTCTGTTTGCTTCACTGAGTGCATTTTAATGAAAAACAAAACAGCCACAAAGGGTAAACTAAACCTCTGTCTTTGCGTCTGAACTGAGGCTGAGCACTCAACCCTCCTGGTCCCAGGCTTACAGATCTCAAATAAAGATGTGGGGCCTTTCTTCGGACCTCTGAGGTGTAATTCCTCACCTCCTCCATTACTCCAGCAAACGTTTGGGGACTGGAAGGCGACCTGCCCCAGCAGGTCAGCTCCGAGGCTGGCTCTCAAGGGTTCGTGTCCCTAGCACTCACCCGTGTCTCCCAGCTTCATTCCCGGGCTTAATCCGCGGGTCCAAAAGGACTGGTTGATTTGACCGGTCTCCAGGCCTCCAGGTGAATTCCTGGAATTTTATTTTAGGCATTTAGAGCTTAGATTGGAGATTTCAAGGCGGCTGATCAAAAATGTTAGGATATCTTTGAATATCATCTACATCAAGGGGTTAGGGCATCCAGCGTTCTGACCCAGCAGGTGGCTTTCTTCTGTATAATGAAGGCCAATTTCATCATCCTGATTAGGAAAAACTTGATATCAGGAAGAATTTTTTAAAAGAAAACACGAACTTCGTTGACGCTTAGTGATTTAGAACAGGTAGCCACACTCTCGGTTCTAGACTCTCAAATATTTTAATTTTTTTCCAAAATTAAAGATACATTTTCCAGAAAGATACTCTAAGTCTGCATATCTGAAATATTTTTAAACGAAGGAAAAATTAACAGAGGATTCACCAACAAATAAATTAACAAGTAATTCCAAATGATATCGAAGATCTCACACCGTGTGACAGTCTGAGTACTGTGCTTGCCAAACACTAACGCACTCACAGGACTCCTGCCAGGGACGGGCAGCGAGGACTCCAGGTGTAGCTCTTCGTGACAGCGGGGAGTCAGAAAAACAGGTTTTCCTGATTTTTTTTTTTTTTTTTTTTTAAGCAAGCTTATTGCGGTTTTTGTTGTCCCGTTTAGCAACGTTGATCCGCTGATTAGGTACCTGGGATGCTTTTTTCAAAGGAAAAACTTCAAAGCTTGAGAATTCTAATGTGGATCCAATTCTTTTTACCTTTAAAATATTTACAAATGAAAGAGACTCAGTATCTCCAAACATGATATTTTAGCTTCTACCTGACTAAGGAAGTTGATAAAAGTGTTAGAGTAACATGAGGATACAGATTTAGAACCAACATCTCAGAGTTTTGACATATTTGCTTCGGTTTTATAATGGAACAAACCTAAGCACGTGGGAGCTTCATGTGACAATAGGTGAGAGTATGTGGACATTTTTTTTTTCTGCTTATAAAAAGCTTTAGTGGCTTAATAAGAAAAAGAAAAACAAAACAAAACAAAAAAAAAAAAAACAAAAAAACCTTTGTTAAGGAAAGATGACCAAAATCATAAATAATTCAGTCACCCAGATGTGTCTGTTTTTAACAGGGTTTGAATGTTCATTTCTTGCTAGAAACTATAGTTAGGATTTTGTCCAAGAAAGCTTTCTACACAGAAATACTTGAGACTCTTGTAGAACTGATTGGAAAAAATGAATATCTCCTATTATCTTTTTTTTTTTTTCTTCCAGAAATAGTAAAATACTACAGGGCAGGTCTCTGCTCTGGAGACTTGCCTGCCGGTTCATTCACAATGTTCCTTCTTATAGGCTGAGATTTCCCTGGGGCAAAATCCAGGGGCTGCTCCTCTTCCCTCTTGCTTTGAACCACATTTGGATCACATTTGCCCTGCTTTTAGGGAGGAAGGAGATGTGGAGACAGCTTCTAGGGGGAGGAGGAATCCTAACTATGGTCTCCACTAATTTCTCAATGGAAAATAAACAGCACATTGCACTTCTCCATTTTCTTGATAAGTCAAGACAGTTTTACTCTTGGTTCAGGATTCAGAATTTGGGTCATTTTATTGATCATATTCTAAGTAGTTAAGTTTCCTGTTCATTAAGAGGACTTGCTAAAGGAGTCAGTAGGGAGAACGTCCAGCTCACTAGAATGCTTCTTACATTCCCTCCTTAAGGAGTCACTGAGTTTTTGGAGGAAGACTTTATTCACCTGTGGGGAGGGTCTTAAGATGGGATTTCAAAGGAAGATTCCTTTTAAAAATCTGTAATGTTTTGAGATGTGAACATATTTAAAACAGTGATAAAAATGTTGGTGCAAATTAATTTTTTAAAAAACTAGTACAGGGTACATGAGACTCAGAGTAATTTAGATACTTACATATGCAGAGTTGCCCAGATGTGTGATTGTTCTGTATTCAGCCCTGTATGCAAGGGCTGTGGCAAGTGTTTAATCACAGGGATAGAAAGAAGGCCAAGGAAATTTGGTGGATATATTTTCAGTGTCTAACAATGTAACTGTATGTGTCAATATTATTTAAACACTTTAAAAAGTTCCACCTGCTTCCACCCTCTCCGTTTCTCAATACACTATGCCAAGCAGCGGGATCACAAGACTGTCTTCCTTTTCTCTTGGTCTAATGCCTACCTTTCTCCAAGAGGTGTGAGCTACATCAGTGCAGGGAGTCTTACCTGTGCTTCTCTTTTGTTTGTTTGAATTTTCATGGTAACATTGCTGCCATCTTGAATATTACCTGGCCATGATGCATATTTGGCTAAAGAAATAAAATGAGAAAGACAAATCTTATGAGTTCAAGATCCTGAATATGTTACTTAACAACTCAAAGGCACATACATCTTACCTCTTTTGCCTTCTTCTCAAAACCAATGTACCTGCTTCAGTTTGCTGTCCTGGCAGCCGAACAAGAGGTTGTATAAGCCTAAGGAGAAGTATCTGGAATGATGTATGGGTTGGCTGCTGCCATTTGTTATTGCTACAACCCTAAATTAAAAAAAAAAAAAGAAAGAAATACTCTATGATCATGACCTTATTTGCCTTAAACTTTACTTTTACTAATGCTAAGGTAAATGGATTATTTCCACTGTAATAGAACATCCTTGACCATGTGTTGTATTTCTGCTGTAAGAATTAATTCTCTCAAACTGATTATTTAGAATTAAATTGTTCACCTAAATGATACAAGTCTCATTAGAAAGTGTTAAAGTAGCTATTTTTAAAATGGAAGTTTTGGTCAAGCATGTAGAAAGTGAGGGGGATCCGAATAATGTTATCTTTGAGATGTAGTCTGGTAAACACAGCTAGAGAAATTCAAGTTCAAGGTCAGACTTCTGCTTCGAAAGCTGCAATCATTTCTCCCTTCTTCTGTCCTCTAGTTAAGAATGCTCAGTCCACATTGTGTCATTTTGTCTTCTGTAGGCACTTCTTGTCTTTAGAATTGATTTTTGCTAGACAAAAAAGTTTTTTTTTTATTTTTTAAATGTTGATTTGGATAAGAGGTAGTGAGGTGAACCTTACTTAGTTGCAGCATCATCTTCTCCTTGGACAGGAACCTCTGGTGAAGCTGGGCAGAGTTCATCTGGCCCAGCTCTCCCATTTTACAGACACTACACTACCTTTCCTAGGTGACAAGGGGACCCCCTCTAGAGCTCCGGCTCCTGGAGTACAGTACTACAGGGAGTGTAATATTCTGCATACCACTGTGTACTCCTTTGTGAAGTTCACTTACAGCAGCAGGCTGAGCCATCTGCTCCCTGAATGCAGGGCTCCAATCTGTCAAGCCTCAAATCTAGGGGATAAATCCTTGAATTAGGGATCAAAAGCCCAAGGGATCCTTAGATTTGTCTTTTTTCTTTTTGAGCAGGAGAAGAAACAGCGTGAGTGTGTGTGTGTGTGTGTGTGTGTGTGTGTGTATCTGTTTATATGTGACCCTCTGTGTCTCTCTCTGAGTCTCTAGTGTGTTTGTGTCTATCTGTGTATGTGTCTGTATTTCTATGTCTGTGTGTGTCTATGTGTCTCTGGTGTGTGTTTGTCTTTCTTCCCCCTCCCTCCGCCTTGCCTCCTGTATGTGTTTGTGTGTATTTGCCTGTCTGTTTGTCTGTCTATCTATACCTGTGTATCTAGGTGTCTGGGTATCTTGGCTTCTAAACTTCTATGCCACAGTGTGCTTGTTCTTTTCTTTGAAGAGATGGACTTCATGATTGATAATAGCTCAGAAGAATGGTTGAAGTTCTTCAGGAGAAAAGGGGCATTTAGTTGTTCCCCCCCCCCTTAACTCTTTGTCCATCTAGGCTCCTAGAAGATTTCAAAAAATTAAACCTTTTGTTTGAAAAAAAAATTCTTCCTTGGGATTTTGACTAATATAACTCAATTCTATTTTCCTAATATAAAAGAG